ACTTTTTAATCTACTCTATCAATCTCTGTGTTTTTGTGTTTTTTTTTGAGGAAGATTAGCCCTGAGCTAACATCTATGCCCATCTTTCTCTACTTTATATGTGGGACACCTGCCACAGCATGGCTTGACAAGCAGTGTGTAGGTCTACATCAGGGATCCCTGGGCTGCTGAAGTGGAACGTGCAAACTTAACTGCTGCACCACCAGGCCAGCCCCCCAATCTCTATTTTTTTATTGGTGTATTAGACCATTTATAATTAATGTAATTATTGATATGTTAGGGCTTAAGTTTGCCATTTTATTTTTGCTTTCTGCTTGTTCTGTTTTCTTTTTCCTATCTTTCTGTGGGTTACTTGAGCATCTTTTTGTAACACACTTTTAAAGAATAGTTTTAGATTTACAGAAAAATTGTGAAAATAGTACAGAGTTTCCATATACCTCATACTAAAGTTCCCCTATTATTAACATTAGTGTGGAACATTCATTACAGTTAATAAGCTAGTATTGATACATTATTATTAACTAAAGTCCATATTTTATTCATATTCCCTTAGTTTTTATCTAATGTCCTTTTTCCATCCCAGGATCCCATCTAGAATACTATATTACATTTAGTTGTCATGTCTCCTTAGGCTCCTCTTGGCTGTGACAATTTCTCAGACGTTCCTTGTTTTTGAAGACATTGACAGTTTTGAGGAGTGTTGGTCAGGTATTTTGTAAAATATCCCTCTATTGGGATTTGTCTCTTGTTTTTCTCTTGAATAGACTGGGTTTATGGGTTTGGGGGAGGAAGATCACAGAGGTAAAGTGCCATTTTCATTACATATCAAGGGTACATTCTATCAACATGACTTATGACTGTTGATATTGACCTTGACCACCTGACTGAAGTAGTGTTTTTCAGGTTTCTCCACTGTATTCTTTTTCTTCTTCTTCTTCTTTTTTCTCACCAAAGCCCCCCAATACACAGTTGCGTATTGTAGTTGTGAATGCCTCTGGTTGTGCTATGTGGGATGCCGCCTCAACATGGCCTGATGAGTGGCGCTGTGTCCATGCCCAGGATCCAAACTGGCAAAACTCTGGGCCACCGAAGCAGAGTGTGTGAAGTTAACCACTTGGCCATGGGGCCGGCCCCTGTAAAGTTATTCTTGCCCCTCTTTCCATACTGAACTCTTTGGAAGTTAATAACTATGCATAGCCCACACTTAAGGAGTAAAGAGTTCTGCTCCACCTCTTTGAGGGCAGATTATCTACATAAATTAATTGGAATTCTTCTATATGGAAGATTTGTCATTTTCTCCTCATTTATTTATTTATTCAATCAGTTATTTATATTAGTATGGACTCATAGATATTTACTTATACTTTGGGATGTAAACATTTTTTAATGTGTTGTAGAATCCATTTTAATTTATCTATGGTGGTTTTGAGTGTATCTCTTCGTATTTTTTTAGTGATTACTCTAGGTATTACATTATATGCATATATAACCTATCATAGTCTACTTGTATTATCATTTACCTTACCTCCCTTTACATCCCTTTACCCTCCCCGTTTCTCATATAATCATTTTAAATATTTTCCTCTACATACCTTTAGAATCACACAGATAATGTTATAATTTTGCTTTAACTGTCAAACATAATTTAGAAAACTTAAGAGAAAAAGGAAAGCCTAATGTATTTATCCATGTGTTTGCTTAGTTTGTTCTTTCTTCCTTCCTAATATTCTAAGATCCTTCTTTTATTATTTCCTTTCTGTTTAAAGAACTTCCTTGAGCCATTCTTTTAGGGCAACAAATTCTTAGTTTTCTTTCATCTGAGAATGTCTTGACTTCTTCTTCATTCCTGAAGGATATTTTCTCTGGGTATAGGATCTGGGTTTATAGTTCTTTTCTTTCACATCACTCCTTCAGGCCTGAGTGGTTTCTGATGAGAAATCTGCTGTCATTCACATTGTCACTCTATAGGTAAGGTGTCATTTTTCTCGGGTTGTTTTGAAGATTTTTTCTTTGTTTTTAGTTTTCGGAAGTTTAATTATGACGTGTCTTAATGTGGATTTCTTGAGGTTTATCCTACTTAAGATTTGCTCATCTTTTTGAATTTATGGATTAACATCTGTTGCCAAATTCGGGAAATTTTCTGCCCTTATTTTTTGAAGTATTTTTTGGCCCCATTTTCCTTTTCCTCTCTTTCTAGGACTCCATTGACACAAATATTAGATCTTATGTTACAGTCCCACAGGTCCCTATGGCTTTATTCCTTTTTTTCCAGTCTACTTTATCTCTGTTGTTAAAATTGTATAATTTTTATTGTTCTATCTTGCAGTCCACTGACTCTTTCCTCTGTCCCCTCCATTTTGCTGTTGGGCCTATCCATTCATCTTTGTTTTTTGGTTATCGCATTTTTCAGTTCTAAAATTTCCATTTGGTTCTTTTTTATTATGTCTTCTATTTCTTTGCTAAGACTTTCTACTTTTTCATTTGTTTCAAGCATGTTTGCAATTGCTTGTTGAAGGATTTATTATTATGGCTGCTTAAAAATCTGGGTCAGAGAATGCTACCATCTCTTTCATCTCAGTGTGGGCACCTATTGATTCTTTTTTTCATCCATGAGATCTTCTGGGTTCTTGGTATCGTGAGAGATTTTTGAGTGGGACTTGGATATTTGAGTATTATTGTTATGAGATTCTGGATCTTATTTATTTATTTTTTGAGGAAGATTAGCCCTGAGCTAATATCTGCCGTCAATCCTCCTCTTTTTGCTGAGGAAGACTGACCCTGAACTGACATCTGTGCCCATCTTCCTCTCCTTTATATGGAGGACGCCTGCCACAGCATGGCTTGACAAGTGGTGCGTAGGTCCACACCTGGGATCTGAACTGGCAAACCCTGGGCCGCCAAAGTGGAACGTGCGAATTTAATCGCTATGCCACTGGGCCAGCCCCTTTGGATCTTATTTACACCTTCTGTTTTAACTGGCTTTCTTTGACACAGCTCTGTCAAAGGAAGGGGGCAGTGCCACCTTATTACTACCAAGTGGAGGCAGAAATCTAAGTTCGCCTCTCATCCTGCATTGCCACTAGAGGGGGATGCTCCTCACTACTGCGGGGCAGGAGTGAACATTCCAGCTCCCCACGTGGTCTCCGTGGACCCTGCAGTGGAGGTGGTCTTGTTATTGTTGGATGATGGTGACAGCCCTGGCTCTCCACTCTGACACCACCCCAGCAGGGAGGGGTGCCTCATGACTGCCGGATGGGAATGGAAGTTCAGGCTCCTCTTATGGTCTCCACTGACATTGCAGGGTGTTGAGGAACCCTGCCACTGGCTGGTGCAGATTTACATCCCAGCTCTCTACTTTGCATTCCCTAATACCATCCCAGCAGGGGTATTGGGGCACCTCCTTACAGCCTCAGTGGACTATGGACTGAATTGTGTCCCCCCTAAATTCATATGTCGAAGCCCTCACACTCAGTGTGATGGTGTTTGGAGATGGGGCCTTTGGGAGGCACTTAGCTTTACATGAGGTCATGAGGATGGGGACCTCTTGATGGATTAGTGCCCTTATAAGAAGAGACACCAGAGAGCTTGCTTGCTTTCTCTCTCTCCATCATGTGAGGACACAGCAAGGAGGCAGCCATCTGCAGGCCAAGAAAAGAGGCCTCTCCAGACCCCGACCATGCTGGCACCCTGATCTTGGACTTCCAGCCTCCAGAACTGTCAGAAAATAAATTCCTGTTGTTTGAACCACCCCGCCTACGGCATTTTGTTATAGCAGCCCAAGCAGACTAACGCATCTGTCTACTCCATTTTCCTGAAAGCCCTCATCCTTTTCATTACATGCATAATTTCCCACAGTTGTACTGTATTTCAGCTCTTTCCTCACTGATGGATATTCCGATTGAACCCTATTCTTTCATATTATGAACAATGCTTATAACAACATCCTTGCATAGACGTCATGAAAAATTCACTTTTTTATTTCTGTCTAATAGATTTTCCAGAATAGCTATTACTAGGTAAAAGGATTTTAGAATTTTGTATTTATTAAACATTGCCAGACTACTTTTAAAAATTAGTCTAATAATTGTCTCATCATGATATAATGCTATGAAGGGGTAGGCTAAAAGGTATGATATTATCTATGTAAATAATAAATATTATATTTTCCACAGTAAACAAAGATTGGCAGGAAATAAGTCAAATGTTAATAGAGGATATCTCTGAGGGGTGGCAGTGTGCATGCATTTGACTTTCTTCCTTGTTCTTTTCTGCATTTGCCAAATATTCTGTTATGAGCAAGTATTACTTTCAAATGTGGAGAAAAAACAGTAACATTAATAATATTTGTATAAAAGAAGTAACATATTGGAAGGTGCAAATTAGTATAGTCAAATCTTATTATAGCAGATGCCATTTCAGCAAAATTTGTCTAACAAAAAGATATCTAAAGATCAAACAGACCTGGCCCACCAATTTCGCTTCTAGGAATTTATCTTACAAAGACATTTGCCCATGCGTCCAAAGAGACAAAGTTTGATTCACTGCAGAATTGTTTGTGATCGCAATAAACTGAAAACCACCTAAATCTCCAACAATATGGGATTAGTCAAATAAATTGTGCTATAATTATACAAAGGAGCTGCACAGTCCCTGGAGAGAAAGGAGGTAGAAATATACAGAGAGAGGTAGATACATAGATATATAAGTATAGATATATATAGATACACATATATGAATATAGAACAATCTTCAAAATATCTGTCTCATTTTTAAAAAAGGCAAGGTTAGAAGAAGGTGTATTGCTATGGTATGCTTCTATCTCAAGTTCTTGTTTGTTTTGATATGTGATGAATATATGTATATGATGAATTTACCATTTTATGTAAGAAAAGAGGGGACTGGGATTCCTCAAAAAATTAAGAATAGAACTGTCACCTAGGGAAGTCCCTAAAACATTTTCCATGTCTAATACTTTGTTTTTAAGTTGTACTTGCTTACAGGAACCAAGGCAGAACGTTGCCAGATGGCCGAACCACAGAACCGGTCCAAACCAGAAAGGTCCAAGATGGCGATGGGGTGCCATATACAAAAGGAAACGTGTGCACAAGGTACTGTGTGCAAGAAGGGAAGACCTGCACATGCCCCAAATGCCACTGCCCTGAGCGATGGATGACATGGAGACCCCTCCCTTTCACATCTTGTAAGAATCCTGCTCACCTTCCCTTTGGGGAGAAGGTGTTTTAGAGCATGAGTTCTGCCTCCTCCATTCATTGATCGATGAATAAAGTTTCTACTCTGCTATTCCAAACCCAGTCTCATTCTACTGGTGCGAGTGGCTCCAGGCAAAAAGGTCCACTTGCAGGTCACGGGTCCTTAAGGCTCCATAAGAGAATTACCATATGATCTGGCTATTCCACTGCTGGGTGTTTATGTAAAGAACATGAAAACACGAACATGTAAACATATATGCACCCTTATATGTTCACTGCAGCATTATTTACAATAGCCAAGACTTGGAAAGAACCTAAGTGCCCATCGATGGACAAAAGGATAAAGAAGATGTGGTATATATACACAATGGAACACTACTCAGCCATCAAAAAAGATGAAATCTTGCCATTTGCAACAACATGGATGGACCTTGAGGGTATTATGCTAAGTGAAATAAGTCAGACAAAGTCAGATACTTTATGACCTCACTCATAAGTAGAAGATAAAAACAACAGCAACAACCAAACACATAGATACAGAGGTGAGATTGGTAGCTACCAGAAGGGAAGAGGGGAGGGAGGAGGGGGAAAGAGGTGACTGGGCACATGTGTACAGTGATGGACAGTAATTAGTCTTTGGGCGGTGACCATGATGTAGTCTACACAGAAATCGAAATATAATGATGTACACCTGATATTTACATAATGTTATAAACCAATGTTACCTCAACAAATAAATAAATAAAAAGAAAAGAGGAGACTGTATCCACATGTGCTTCTACATGCGTAGTTCATCTCTTGAAGGAAGCACAGAAACTGATTAACACAGTTGCCTCTGGGGAAGGGAACTGAGGAACTAGGGATCAGGAGTTGGGGGGAGAGTTATTGTCACTGTATAGCATCTGCACGGTTTTAAATTTTTACCAAGTACCTGTATGACTTTTTCAAATTATTTTTACTTTAAAATTAATAAAAATAAAGTCCCAGCTGAAACTCTTGCTTCTTTCAAGAAATTTAGCAGAATAAAATTCTAGGACAAGGAAACCACTTGCAGAGTTTGTGGGACCGGCTGTCCTGAGCTCTGCTCCAGGGTGTAGATTAGCTACTGGGTCCAGGGGGGATGCGTAGGGGCCTCGGGAAGCAGCTCTCTGAAGGAGGAGAGAACACGGGCAAAGGGCAGTTAGCCTGGTTAATGGGCTGACATCTGCTTGTTTTTATCAGAAAGAAATCAGGAATTGGGGGTTTTGTTAATTTTAGGGAATGGCTTTGGGTCAATAATGATCCAGCCCACTATCCCCCTTTTCTTCATGTGCAGACCTGAGGAGTGGACACAGCTGTCTGAATTGTGACCCTGGGAACCCAGCAAGAACCTCATGCCAGAGAGGGTGGAATTCTTTTCCACTGGATCCAGGTAGGAAACCGAGACATCCGTTTCCAACAGAGATGATTTCCTGTGCACTGTGGCGGGTTCAGGTTTGCCTGCCCTAGGATGATTTTCCATAGGAGAGCTTAGGCCTGAGAGTTCAAGGACCAAAGCTCTAGGACCAGCTCTGCGTCCATCTGGGCACGAAAGCCTGGGGCAGGGACTTCCTCTCCTGGGCTGCAGCTTCCTCCCTAGTCAAAGCAGAGTCTTGGACTCCAGCCAGATATCCCAGACTTCAACCATTCACGTACCTTGTACACGATTTTGGCCAAATCTGCCTGTCCTATTCATGTAACATCTTTAAATGGATTCATTTTGTCAAATTAAATAAATTTATTTTAAAAGGAAACTTTATATCACTATAATAAACAGAAAGCCAGTATCACTTGTCTCAAACAGAAGGCAACTGTAAAAAAAAAAACTAAAAAAACCCACTAAAAATAATGTTATTATATTTATTACTTAAAACTAACACGAGCTCACCAATTAATCTTAATAGCACAAAAAGAGTGATAGACATTACATGGCTCCTGATGGGATGAAATTGGTAGTACAAAACACCATCTGTTGGGGCCGGCCCCGTGGCCGAGTGGTTAAGTTTGCGCGCTCCGCTTCGGCGGCCCAGGGTTTCACCAGTTTGAATGCTGGGCGCAGACATGGCACTGCTCATCAAGCCATGCTGAGGTGGTGTCCCACATGCCACATCGGGAGGCACCCACAACTAAAAATATACAGTTATGTCCCGGAGAGCTTTGGGGAGAAAAGGGAAAAATAGAATCTTAAAAAAAAAAATTGTTGAATATTAGAGGCCATACACAAAAGAAAGAAGAATTATTTAAAGAAGAGCATGAGGGGGGCGGGCCAGGTGGCGCAGCGGTTAAGTGCTCACGTTCTGCTTCTCAGCGGCCCAGGGTTCATCAGTTTGGATCCCGGGTGCGGACATGGCACCACTTGGCACACCATGCTGTGGTAGGCGTCCCACATATAAAGTAGAGGAAGATGGGCACTGATGTTAGCTCAGGGCCAGGCTTTAGAGGAAGATGGGCACTGATGTTAGCTCAGGGCCAGGCTTCCTCAGCTAAAAAAAGAGGAGGACTGGCAGTAGTTAGCTCAGGGCTAATCTTCCTCAAAAAAAAAAAAAGGTAAGAGCATGAGGGATACGTATGTATGGTGATAGATAAAAACTAGACTATTGATGGTGAACACAATGCAGTCTATAAAGAAACTGATAGATAATAATGTCCACCTGAAATTACACAATGTTATAAGCCAATATGACCTCAATAAAATAATTTTAAAAATAAAAATAAATAATAAAGAAGAGCATGAGGGCAAACCTCACATGGAAAAAAAAAAATCTCCTTTATTGCAAAATACGTTCCTAAGAAGCATTGAGATCTTAGTTTTTTTCACTTTAAAAACTAGAAAAAAATCATCCTGTTGCTTTCAACGGAAGTAAACGAAGTATCATCACGGATCTACAGCAGTAATATTTGTGAAATTATGGCTTTTATAGGACAATTACTTTTCTAATACTCATTAAAATAAGTCATGAATATTAAAATATTGAAATTATAATAGACCATCAAAAGCCATTCCCTGGGCCAGCAGCAGTTGGGGCAGGAAAACCGGGAGCAGGGCTGCCATACCTTTAACCCACCAGGTGCGCTGACCTCCCAGAATCTTGACCTCGGAAGGATACTTCCAGTTGAAGAACACATTCTTCTTCTGGGAACCTTGGCAGGGCAGCTCCACTGTCTCTCCTGCCTTCCCCAGCACCACTTCTCTTCCCTGAGTGACTGCTGGAAGCAGCGCTGGGTGGAAAAGAAGGGGGTCAGGCCTCAAGGCTGCCCCGCCTCCGCCCCATCCCCCACCTCTGTATTTCCCAGTCAGCCCCTCCTCCCAGCCCATCTGCGCCGGACCTCAAGCCTGAGCACTCACCTAGTTGTAGCAGCAGGAGCAGGTGCCCAAAAGAGGTTCCCCTGTCCATCGTGGCCTTGCTGAAGCAGGGGGGAACCTGAGCCTCCCCCACAGGAAGGGCAGGGCCTGAGAGAGATACTAGTCATTAGTCAGCAGGCGTCTTCTGGGCAAGGGGCACACGGGGATGGTACGCAGTCTCTCCCTTCAGGACCCACACAGCCAAGCCAGGGACCTGGACACCATACTTCTAAGCAGACACTCACAGGCACATGCCACACAAGGCTGTGCCCAGGCCAGGGTGGGTTCTCTGCAAATTGGGATCAGAAAAAGCTTCATGGAGAAGGTGGCAAATTGATGGGGACTGACACCAGGGAGCCAGTCAGGTCATGAAAAGTCCTTGAATGCCATGCCGGGATGCCAGGACTTGACCCTGGGCACCAGGGAGCCGTAAAGAATTTTATGTAGATAGGGCCAGCCCGGTGGCACAGTGGTTAAGTGCGCGCGTTCGGCTTTGACGGCCCGGGGTTCGCCGGTTCGGATCCCTGGTGCGGACATGGCGCTGCTTGGCAAGCCATGCTGTGGTAGGCGTCCCATATATAACGTAGAGGAAGATGGGCATGGATGTTAGCTCAGGGCCAGTCTTCCTCAGCAAAAAGAGGAGGATTGGCAGCAGTTAGCTCAGGGCTAATCTTCCTCAAAAAAAAAAAAATTTATATAGAGAAGGACATGATTAATTTGCAAAATGGATCCCTTGAACTGCTTCATGGAAGATGAGTTGGAGGAGGCCAAGCTCAGGAAGCAGGATTGCAACAATCCTGGTGAGAGAAGGTGAGGCCTGAACTCAGAGAGTGGCTGTGGGAATGAGGAAAAAGAGACTGACTTGAGGGACAGTTCTGAGGTAAAATTCCCCAGCCTGGGGCCTGATAGAGTGTGAGGGGGAGGGAGAGAAAGGGCAGAGGGTCATTCGGTGCTCACCGTCGTCGGACCAACCCCAGAAGGCCTCCGAGTGAGACAGGCAGAAAGATGCTGTTTGGGAGTTCAGATGAAGGAGCAGGAGCGGTTTCCGTGAGCTGGGAAGGCTGCGGGGGAGGGGGTGGCAGGAAGGCTCAGAATGAACCTTGAGGAATGGGCAGCATTAGGTTAGAGCAGAGATTCTCAAAGTGCGGTCCCAGATCAGCAGCAGCTGCGTCACCTGGGAACTTGTTACAAAGGCAAGTTCTCATGCGGGCAGTCCCAGACCTGCTGAATCAGAAACTGGGGGTGGGTCTAGCCTCTGTGTTTTCACAAACCTCCAGGTGACTGCCACACACTCAGGCTTGAAAACTGTGAGTTTGCTGGAAAGGAAAGGGGAGGGGCGTCCCACCCAGGCAGGCAAAGGTGCAGGGGTATGGAGGAGATTTGGGAGGGAGGAGAGGGCTCCTGGGGGGAGGCAGGGAGAGACGATGTGGGAAAGGCTTTGGGGGCTGATTGTGAATCTTGACGGGCAGGCTGGGAGCTAGGGTTTGCTGTGCAGGTGACTGGGAGCCACAGCTGAGTTTTGAGCAGAGATGTGACTGGTCTGTGTAGAGCTTTACTCCCTCTCTCCCCACTCCTTGCCCCTGCCCACTACAGATTCTGTCCCTTGGCCCCTTATCCACAGCTCAAACCCTCACTGGGTTCCAGAAATACCGCTCCTGCCCTTGCCCCTTCAGGACCCTACCTGCTGGTGCTAGTGTCTCTGTGCCTCAACATGCTGGTGGGTTCCCTTGACCCTGTCCACACCTCTGTGAATAACCCCCTTTCTGCAGTCTCTTGAACCATCAGAGGCAGGCTCTGTTTCCTGTTGGGCACTGATCCATCACAGAGCTCTAGCACTCAGACGGGTGCTGGAGGCTTGGTCCTCCTAATGAGGTTTGGGGAAAGATTAAAAAAAACAATTCCTTCCAGTTACCCCATCTGCCTGAAAGAGGAATTACTCAGGGCCTAACGCTTGATATAATTTTTTTTTAACCAGGGAAATTAGAAAAGAAGAAGTCAGTAAGGAGGCTTCCAGGAAAGGAGGGAGGGCGCTAGTCACAGATGAAGTTGTTTACAAGCAGCATGGGGTATGGAGGCATGGAGGCATGGAGGGGAAGTCTGGGTGAGAGAGTGGGGTAGGGGCGCTCTTACATTTGAGAGTGGTTCCCACTGTCCTCCCATCCTAGACTCACTGTGTCCTTGGCGAGCAGAGAGTGAAGGAGTCTCCCCATGGGATATCCCTTCCCTGGGGTTCAGATTCAGCTTAGATGCCCAAGGAAGGCTAGGGACATTCCTGACCTTTCCCCAAATGGTGGCCACTTTCTCTTCCCTGCTCTGTCATCCTGGGGTAGTGCAGAGGCCACCTCCCCGTCTCCAGCTGCCTGCACCGCCCCAACCCACCCCAGGGCTCAGCTCAGTGGAGGAGGCTATGGGTTTCCAGCTGCTACTTCCTTTGGTGCTTTGGGCTTCCGCTACCGCCCCAAAGAGGTGGCCTTTGATTCCCACATCCTCAGCCTCCCCACAGGCACTTTGCCCCAGTACAGTGGCATCCTGTATATCACAGCACTCTGAGAGAGGCTGGGAGGGCTTGCCGGTCCCCCAGGTCCTGATATGTCTGCCTGTCTCCGTCTGCTTGTTTCTCTGCTCACATGGGTGCATTTCTGTATCTGGGCCTCCCACACTGATGCCTCCATCTTCAACTCCCTGCATCTGTGTCTCTCCTCCTCTACACCTCATATGCCAGGAGGCAATTCTGGCTCTCCTGGTCTCTCTTGGAATGCCCCTTCCCTTTTCTCCTTCTTCATCTCTCCTCTCTCCAGCTGCCGCTAAGCTCTAGCCCCTTCTCGCCCGCCCATAAACAAGTATCCAGGCCTCTGGCAGGAGTGCAGCTTTTCACAAGCTTTGATCTGAAGGGCGCCTGCAGAGCACAGCCTGGAGCTGAGGGGTGGATGCAAGGGAGATGGCTGCAGGGTGGACAAAGAGAAAAGGACAGATTCCTGGAAACACACAGAGGCCCAGAGGAAGGAAGAAGGTAGGAGAGACCCAGAGCAGCTCATTAAAGCAACAGCTACACTTCACACAATGCACGTCACACACAAAGCCCAGGGTAGTACAGAAAAGTAGAGGCAGAGGGAAAGAGATGAAAAAATTCTGAGAGGCAAGACACACGCACAGACCAAAGAGACAAAGAGAGACCAAGAGAGCGATGAGACCAAAATGGCAAGACACACCACACACTCTCTCAGAGCCCTTGAGGTTCCCGCTGCCTTCACCCTGGCCCCGGAGATGGGATGAGGAGCGAGGCTGAGGAGAGGAAGAGGGCACAGCCCCACCACAGCTACAGTCTGTGGTCCCACAGGCACTTTCATCTTCCCCTCATAGCCCCCAGTCAGCCCCCTCAAGCCCAGCTGCGGGACGTGCCCCCCACCACACACGCCCTCTTTACTGCTCACTGGCTTCCTACGAACTTCCTAGAGACCATGACCCCTCTAAGGGACCCTTGTGGTTCAGTGGCTGCAACCTCCACCATCCTCCCCTTTGCCTCAGACGCCCACATGGGGGGAGCCATGCCTCCCCCTTCTCCTATCCCCCGAAAGCTTCAGAACATAGCTCAACCTTAGAGCCTTACAAACCCAGGCCCTGTCTGCCCTCCCTCTCCCAGCACCCACCCTCATCGAAGTTATTTCATTCAACGTTTATTGAGTGTCTAAAATGAGCCAGGCCCTTGGTCTACCGAACTCCCCTCAGGGCCACCTCACCATTTTGGCCAGGATCACGGCCTAAAGCCCTGTGAGGCTTCAGACTAGAACCAGTCGGTGGGGGCAGTTTTTATTTTGAGGTAGACCTTTTTTACATAAATTCCCCAAATGGAAAGAGGGAAATCATCTCCTGAGGTGTCTCTAACCCTGGTCCTCCGAGAGCTCCTTCACCTCAGGTTAACAGGGCGGCCATTTTGTATGAGCCTACAGAATCTAACACAGCACAAGAAATTATTTGTCAAAACATGAGAGGCAGTGATCAAGTTCTACTCTCAACCTTGCACCCCTAAAAATTTGACCCACAAGAGCCAGACATTCAGAACAAGCTATCCCACCCAGAGCGAAATCTTTGGATTAGTGAGAGTGGGGCCTTTCTATTTTGAGGAATCAGACTGTACCCCAGGAGGCCCCTCTCCGAGAATACATCTACAAGGAAAGGCAGAGGACACCCGGGGAACAGGGTTGCAAGGCCGTGGAGGGCTTAAGAGGGGAAAGGACTGAGGGTGTGGAGGTGGGAGGCTGGAGTTGTTCAGGGCCACCCATCTAGAGGGGTATCACTTCCTGTGTCCCCTCTCTCCCCCAACAAGCCCGGCAGATGAGGGGGTCTGCAAATCCTTCTCTAACTCCCCTAGGCGCCCTTTCCAGAGCAGCTGAGGCACCTAAAACCAATCGTCTTAGAACGAATTTTTCTAATGACGTATTTACCTAAAAATATGTATCTATCACTTTTACAGCATTCCGTATGAAAGAGCTCAGTTTCAACCCTTTTTGAGGATTTTAGCTTTCCCATTTCATTAATCATTTTAAAGCTAAGTAAAGTGGAAGTGCCTTTAAAGATATTGTTCAAAAATCCTAAAAATGCACAAAAGTAGATAAAAAGAGTAAAAACACATGTAAACAGAAAAGATAGTTAACGGAGAGGCCTCATCAATCGTATGGTTTATGAAATGCAACCTGTATGATTTCTGAGTGACTTATTGGAAATAGCGTCATTGGGAAAGTTGATCTGAGGAGAATTGCCTCTAGACTAGATTCTATTTCTCTTTCTCTTTTCCTTGCTTTTATTTCCTCTTTTCATGTCTTTTTCATAGGCCTCCTTCCTCTTTCATACCATGTATTCTCTTTTTTTCCCCACCCTTCCTTCCCCTTTTTTCCTCTTTTCTCCTCTTCCTATCTTCAGCTCCTCCACTGCCCCATGACCAGTCGCCTTCCACTGCCTTTCCCAGCCCAAAGTGGCCTTGAGTCCCCGTTCCTTTTCCGATCTCACCGTCCGAGTCAACACCCCTCTGAGGAGCACGCTGTGCTCTGGGCGCTGAGCTGTGCACAGTGGGAATGCCAAGAGGAGTTTGGCACAGTCCCTGGCTTCTTGAAGCTCACAGTTCCAGTGGGACATAGCTGCTCACGAAATGCAAGAGAAGGTGGCCAGAGCAGCGGGCAGAGAACTGGGAATCCAGCACATTCTAGTGCATCTGCTGCCACGTCTCCTCCCCTTCCCAGACCCTCGGAAAGGAATGAAACTGAGTCATCCATCTTACCTCTGGGCCTGTGTCTTTCTTCTCCTCTGCTTCTCACACAGGTGTGCCTATGTGAGGTCTGGGAGCTCTGCAACCAGGAGCCCACTGGGGAGAGCACTTGTCACTTCTGCAGAGACGTGGTTAAATGAAGAGACAGGAAGCCCGGTAGTCAGGTTCCTCCACACCCCAGGCCTGGGCCAGCCCCCAACGTCACCATCTGGGGCTGGGGTCCCCACCCCCTGCCTCTCTGGGAAGACATCAAAGTGAAAATGCCAAAGTCAAGGGAAAAAATCAAGCAGAATCAGGCCGGAGCCCAGAGTGTCACACATTTCTTGTTGGGTGGCAAGACAAAGCTTACGCCAATGATGTTGCAATCTGGCCTGGGCTTCAGGGAAAGAAAAAGTGGGAAGCAAGTGGGAGGCATATGAGAGCAGTTGCAGTCAGCTCTGATCAGCTCCTTGCTCCAGGGCCCTGAGAGCATTTGTTCAGTGGATAAGCACTAGAGGCATTATAGATGGCCCAGTGTGGCAGAAAGGGCCTGGGCCAAGTGCAGGATATCTGAGACACCCAGAGCGACCACGGACTAGACGCTTTTCCTCTGGGCCTTCGTCTCTGGCCAACCGGCAAATGTTTATCTCTAGCCTGGATCTCTCAGGAGCTCCAGATGTGTATACCCACCTGCCCACTGGACATCTCCACTTGGACGTTCACCAGACATAGCAAACTCAACACCTTTCAAACTAAACTTATCATCTGCATACTCTTACCCTCCAGACCTATCTCTCCTTCAAGTCTCCCACTCAGTGAGGGCTTTACCATCTACCAAGCTGCTCAAGCCAAATAAACTGGGTGTAATCTTTTGACTCTTTCTTCACCCAACCGCTCCCACATATTTATTTACTAATTCCCGTGGACCAGTTCCCCTACTAAATAGCTCTAAAGTCTATCCAAGTCACTCTGCCCCACTGCCACCATTCCAGTCCAAGGTGCCATCATCTCCTTTGCCTGGACTCCAGCTCCTGCCTCCTCACTGGTCTCCCGGCCTCTCCATTCTGCCTTCCTCCAGGCCACCCTCCGCACAGCAGACAGAGTGATCATTTAAATAAGCACATGTGATCATGCCATCCCTGTTATGAAAAAAGTGGCTAGTTCAGCTTGCAACTCTAACAATTAATGCAAATGTTTCTACTGGAGACAACCATTGTACTTCATTTGCAAGAGAAGTGCTTTATGCTACTTCTCATTTCATAACACAATGTACTCAAGGCTTGAGATTTAATAAAATTAATATTTACTGCTTCATCAAGGGCATTCTTAAGTGAAACTGGCATTAATTTTTGTTTCTTTTTTTACTGCAAGTGCAGTGAAGAATACAATGACTATAGCATGGTTTGGTGCCACTGCCTCAATTTGTGCTGAGGCAGCAGTCTAACCTAGATTGTTTTTGCATCATCATTGCAATGTCCACATAGTAACAGAGGCAAATAACGTCCTATTATTTTTATGAAAATAGCTTGACCTCGCAAATCCCTAAAAGGGGCTCAAGAACCACTGTGGGCCACACTTTGAGAACCACTAATCTAGAAAAATTTTATTCATTCTTCAAATCTTAGCTATCTCTCTGCACAAACCTTCAGTTGCCCCCAAAATCTGTTTTCTCTTTCTTTTTTAGTAACAGAACCCTCAATTTTTAGCTGAGCTCACGGCTGCTCAGATTTAAGTTATACTTCCCAGCCTCCATTGCAGCTAGATGTGGCTAAATGACTCAATTTTGTTTAATGGATATAAGTGAAAAGTGTTAGGTGCAACCTCTAAGGAGCATCCTTAAAGGGAGGGTGTGTGTCCTTCAAGTGAGGGTATGTGTCCTTCCTCAGGCCTGCATGGCCTTCCTGCAGTCTGGAATACAAGCACCCTCCCAATTGTTTACAAGCCTGCATTTCTAATTTACGTTACCTAGCAGGCTCCTATGGGCATTTAAGTTTACAACCCTGGCCTAGACCAGTTCCTTCTACTTGCATATTCAACAGTGTTAAGTGTCTACCAGGCCCAAGGCACTCTGCTGGGTGCCGGGGATGTGATGTTGAGTAAGTTAGACATGGTCACCACTCCAGCCTGTGACATAGACACTACATTGTCCATTACAATTGGACAAGTCCTACAGAAGGAAAAACACAGAGGACGGGGAGAGCTTATCACCAAGAACCCACTTCAACTGGGAGATCAAGAAAGGCTTCCAGGGGAAGTGTGTATCAGCTAGCACTGCACTCCGCTACAATCGAAAGAAAACTCAACATAACAGAGGCTTCAATGAGACTGAAGTGGATTTCTCACCTGAAGGAAGCCTGGAGGCAGGTGGTTCAGAGGTGAGGGAGCACCACACCCTACCCCAGCAGCAGGATTTGGGCTGTTTGTATCTTGTTGCTCCACCATCCTCTGCACACGACCTCTCCTCATAGTCTGAGAAGGCTACTCAAGCTCCTCAGTGGAAACAAGGGTCACTTGTGCTAAGACCGCCCAGTACTCTGTGCTTCTCCCTTGCAAGCACTTGTCCCAGTGTAATGAAATGATTAATTGTTTAGTGTCTCTCTCATAGGCTAGAGCAGTGACCACGTCTGTCTTACTTAGCACCAGACCCCAACACCCAGCAGAGTGCCTTGGGCCTGGTAGATCCTTATTACTTGTCGAATACTATTTTTTAATATTAAGTTTTATTGATAGTAAGTTTGTTGTGCTAAAACATACACAACATAGTATTTACCACTGTAACCATTTCTAAGTGTACAGTTCTGTGGCATTAAATACATTCACGTTATTGTGCAACCATTGCCACCGTCCATCTCCAGAACTTTTCCATCTTCCCCAACTGATACTCTGTACCCGTTACACACTAACTCCCCATTCCTCCCTCTCCCCAACCCCTGGCTGTTGAATACTTTTTCAATGAATGAATGGAGAGGGACTAGAGCAAGTGTCTCAAACTTAAATGCCTACAGGAGCCCGCAGTGTAGTATAGATAAGAAAAGCAGGCTGGCTGTAAACAACAGGGAGGGGTGGAGACTGAGGTAAACTAGAGAGTAGCTGCCTCATCTAATGAGGGCAGCCACTAACCACACAGCTCTAGCCGAGCTGAGAGTAGAAATTGTACCAGAATGTGAACCCAGAGTTGCCAGCTCTGCCAAAATTTGGAGAGAAGGTGAAAACCCAGACATTTATGTAACGTCTCCTAATTTTAATGTTGGCAACTAATTTTTTGTTTCGTTCTAACACTGGGTAAATAAAATAAAACATTCCAAAGCATTCTAGCTTAGGGCCCACCAGTTTGCAACCAATGGACCAGATGGACTATATGATGCCATATAGCTCTTGGGTCTGTCACCCGTGACTGCCTGTGAAGAGGGGTTCTGAAGCTCCAAGAAGCTGGCTCTCCCTCTGGAGTTTCCAAACAGGAAAAGAAAAGAGGAAGAGAGAGCAAATTTATATTGAACATTTAGAACTGCTGTGTGCTTTATATGGCTGTGTATTTTATTTAATCTTCACAACAATATAAGGCATAGGTATTATGCTCCAGACCATATAGATGAGGAAACTGAGGCTCAAAGAGTTTAAGAAAATTGCTAAAGATCACAGACCTAGTGAGCGTAACTGGTGGAACTGGGATTTGAACTCACATATCTGGACCCCAATCCCTGGGTTTTCCCCCTCACCCCACTGCCTCTCCTCGGCATTAAGAAAGGCCAGGGCGATGATGAAGGAAAGCCTTCTCCCATGGCAGTGGAGGGCAGATGAGGCCAACAACCTCAGTGGGGCTTCCGAGGTCTACCATCACCCTGATCCCTCACACCTATAGGTGACTTTCCGTTTTCAAAGCGCTTTCACATACATTACCACAGGCCAAGTCTTTTTGGTACGTATTACTATCCTCATTTTACGGAAGAAGTAACTGAAGCTATCTGCCCCATCCTGTGACTGTCAGCATGCAGAACGCAGATTTCCAGAAGTCTCCTGGTTCCTGGTAGAGAGCTATTTTTGCTGCATATATTCTGTCTCCAGGCTGGAGGAAGGATAGGAGGCCAAGGGGGGAACAAAGAGATGGGAAACAGAGGGAAGCCAGCATCACGGGCTGCTGACAGAGTGTTGGAGACCAGGCTACTGGAGAAGGAGGAGGACTGCCTGTGGAGTAGGGAAGTTGGAGGCCCCAGGTGCAGTCCTGTGGTGGCCTCCTTACCAGAAACATCTGCAGCTCACTGACACCCTCTGCAAAGCAGGCTGGGGGCAGGGCTTGGAGCTGAGGGAGTGGGGGAGGGGTCACAGAAGCTATTCTTTGTAAAACAGTCTTGGAGGGTGGACCCATCTTCACCCCAGGTACATTCTCCCTAGCGCCAGGACCACTTTCTGCTGCTCTGAAGGTGGTTCCTGGGCCTCTCAGACCCCATGGGAGGGATGAGCCGGCAAATTTCAGAGCCCAGCCTGGGCTCAGCCAGCTGGCACCTGCACCCCCTTGGAGAAACTGTCAGCCACAGAGTGGAGCAGATAGAACCCATCCCCTCCGCAACCCCATTCCCTTCAAAGGTGAACTCCACCTTGGGTGGGCTCAAGCAGGACAACCTAAGCTCCTCGCTTACCTCCTTTGTGGAAGGGGTGGCAGCAGGGGCTCAGACCTGAACCCTAACACCTCTGCCTGGTTGGGGAGGTGGGGCCGGGAACTTTCTGGGCCTGCCCCGCCCTGTGGAGATGAGAAGACCAGGTCAGGGGTGGGGGGCACACTGACAAATGGGACTGCAGATCTGAAGGAACACTGTATGGCCTCTTGCCTGACACAGTTGACTTGGCAAAGCTCTGGACCACATTTGGCCTCCAGAACTTCTGGACAGTGGACAATGGAAGAAGCTGTGAGGTCCACGGCAGGGCTGGGGGTGTATGTGCTCAGAGATGCCTCTTTGCCTCTCTTGTCCTCTCTTTCAGGCACTGTTCCCCCCATGATAGCCAGGCTGCAAGATGGCCCCAGTGATTTTCTACCTCCTTCAGTTCACGCCCTTATGCTGTCCCCTCTCACATTGTACCAGCATTGGTCTGTGTGACCAACAGAATAGAGCAGAAGTGACGGTATGTCACTTTCCAGATTAGCTTATAAAGACATGGTAGCTTTCATCTTGGCCACTCTCTACCTCTGGGGGAAGCCAGTTGCTATGTCACAAGTGGTCCTATGAAGAGGCCCGTGTAGGGAGGGACTAAAGCCCTGGCCAGCAGCCAACTGAGGGAGCCTTCTTGGAACAGATCCTCCAGCCCAGCCAAGCCTTCAGATGACTACAGCCCTGGCCCAGATCTTGGCAGCAACTTCACAAGAGACCCTGCACCAGAATTACTCCAGCTAAGCTACTCCTGGATTCCTGTCCATGTGAGATAGTATGTTTATCGTTTTAAATTACCGAATTTGGGGGTGATGTGTTATGCGGCGATATATAACCGATACACCCTCTTTCTTTTTAACAAGGACCTAAGATGATCTCCTCTCCCCAGTCCCCACTAAGCTCCCTGCCTCTTTGATGCCCCTTCCCCTCCAGGACCCCAGCCTGGAACATTGGTTTGCAGATAAACTTTGGAGAGGTGGGATGAATTAACCTAGCTTCCTGGAAGGCCTTAAGAGGACACCAAAACGGCTGGAAGTTAACTTGCTGGGAGGGGAGTGGGGCTTTGCGGAGGACAGGGAGGGGGGAGGGAGCTGGAATGTGTCACCCCCTAGGAGAGATCCCACAGAGAGGTGGGTAAGAATTAATCAAAGGAACACTGTATGCACAAGCCCAGGCCCCCTCTTCCTTCCGCCCTTTGCTCTTCTCTTCCTTGGTGGGCGGAGGATCAAGGTGGCCCTTCACCCTGCCTCTGTCCCCTCCCTGTCCCCTTTGTGCAGGAGCACGGGGAAGTCCCTGCAGAGATGCCAGTGAATCCTCGATGACTCTCTCATAAGACTCTCATAAGCCCAAAGGGCATAGGGTGTTACCTAGTAGAGAGGAAAAACACCGCCCACAGAACTTTCCAGGAAACCCCTGCCCCATTAAAATATGGGGGCTTCCACTACAGCTGTGGAGGGAGAGCAGGGTCATGGGGCAGAGCTGAGGAGTCTCCTTGGCTGGGGCGGGAACAATGCTTCAGAGGTTTCTCAAAGGGCCTTCGGTATTTCACCCTACAGTGTGATCTGTTCACCTGGAGCCCCAGAGCCTCCTTTGGTGCCATTGTTCTCTATCAGTGACAAGGCAAGGGTCCCCACCATCCTAAGTCTCAGAACCTCAGATTGCCTTAAACGGCTCACTATTCAGACTTCAGAGGGTGCCCCTCTCCCCCTGAGGGTCTGCCCAGAACAGAGGTGTCCCTCTCTCCCTTCTCTGTCCCCAAGTCTCTGGCTGTTGTGTCAGGTCTTCAGCCTCATGGTTTGTCTCTGTGTCACTGATCACACAGCACAGCGGGACACCCGTAGGACTTTGCCACAACACATGTGCCCCATGTGCCTCCTGCTTCTGCTGGCTCACTCCCACTCTCTTTCACTATTTTTCTTCCTCTTGCCCAGGGTCAAAGTTCCCTGACAGAGCTGTCTGCAGCCAAAGTCCAGAGCCCTGCACATACCGCAGGCGGAGCTCCAGGTCCTGGAGTTGGGGGGTGGGGAGGCTGTGGGCTGAGGCTGTGTGAGCACTCTGCTGGACTGTCTGCCCGGCCCAGATGAACGTCCTCTCCGAGAGTGACAGACAGAGCGAGGGGGCAGGCAGGCTCGTGGGGCTTCTGCATCGTCACTATGACCAGAGCAGGCCTGCTTCTGCCTTCATCAGTAGATGATCAGACAAGTACATCACACGCCTGGAGCACTTCACGGTTCTCAAAGCCCTCTTATCATCTGATAGTCACCAAAATTCATGTTGGTGGGTTGTCATTGTCCCATTTAATAGGTGAGGAAACTGAAGCTCAGGGAGATTAGCTCTGGTCACATCAGCAGAGCTGGAATCAGAAGCCAGGCCTCTTGACTCCCAAAGCTGCAGCAGCAGTCAGCTGTCTTGCTGGCTGGTTTTCTCCCCATGTGGGTTTCACTGAATCCCCTTTGTCAGACTCGGGTCATAACCTTGCCAGGGCCAGGGCTATGTGTCCTGAGGCGTGTATTGTTCAGTCCCTCCCCTGGAAGGTTCATAGGGCCTGTGACGGTTGCTGGGTGCACATGCATATGTGGCATATGCGTATGCCGACCACAGAGAGTGCGCCTCACAAATGCAGGGACTGCATGCGGGATCTGCGCCCGCCTTGGCCTCTGCACTCAATCTCGGGCCTGCCCCCATCTGCCCAGTACCTCCGGTGGCGTGTGACAAACAGTGACCACCGGGTGGCAGTGTGTTCTCGTGCCTTAGACCAGACAAGGCCTCCTAGAGCTGAGGAATGTGGGGGTGGGGCGGAGGCAGGCAGGAACGTCAGCGGCTGCCCAGAAAGGTTGCAAGATCTGATCTCCCGGCAGACTAGACATGGCAGGGCTCCTCCGTGCGCGTGTGTGTGTGTGTGTGTGTGTGTGAGCTGCAGCCAGCGGGCCAAGGACAGTGCTGAAGTGGAGCCGAGTGTGGGACCAGGTGTGGTGGGCCAGAGAAACAAAAATATAAAGGAAACCAAGGCGGCCAGCATGATCTGAGCAGAAGGAAGGAGGAGAGGGCTCTTGAGGTAAGGGGTGAGTGCTTTTTGGAGCTTCAGAAAAACGACTACCCAGGAAAGACAGAGACCAAGGAAGAAAGAATCACAAAGGAGCGAGGAGCAGAAAAGAGGAAGATGAGAGAGATTAGCTGGGGAAAGTAGGTCGGAAGTCTGGGGTGGGAGAAGGGAGCCCCCAGAGGCTGGGGAGACAAGAGCCTTCACTGTCAAGAAGGAGGCCGACTCAGGCTTGCTGCTGACAGGGACTTTATTTGGACTGAGCTGCGGAGATTAGCCAGCTGCCTCAGCTTCAGCTCAGGGCTGCTCCAGCTCCAGCTCCGGGTCCGGCTCCAGCGCCAGCTCCGTCTCCGGCTGTGCCTCTGGCTCCAGCTCCTCAATCTTGCTCTGAGCCTGAGGTGGGTGAATCCCATGCTCTAAGGCAGAGAATCTTCTTGCTCGCCACTGTGGGAAGACATGGAGAGAGAGGTGGAGGGTGGGAAGAGGAGAAGCATGAAGGGAAAGGGAATATGGATACTGAATCCATCTTTTTTCCCAGCTCCCTGCCCTCCCCATCTGGTCCCAGGCCTTTTTTCAGCCCCTTCAAGTCTCCCTTGGGTCCTTCAGGCACAAGGGGTCCCTGGCGTACAGACGCTTATGAAGAGAGGGTTCTGAAAGCAAGCTCAGGGGTCCATGTTGGTCATCTTCCCTGAGGAAGGGGTGCCAGACAGCACCCCGAGAACTAGGGGAAGGAGAAGCCAATGGCTGGGGGGGTGGGGGAGGGGGCCGTCCCTGGCTTACCTGTCTTCTCCGAAGGTGAAAGCCAAGGGCTCCAGTTACCAAAGAGAGCAGAAAGAGGATACCAAGGATGAGAAAGAGAGGGAGAAGGCCTGTTTTCAGGGCACCTGGGGCTCCCCCAGAGCGTTGGGCTCCTACGGAGAAAGTACAGGGTCAGGGCTGGAAGGACATCTTGCCACACCTTCATATTTTACAGATGCAGACAATCAGGCCCAGAGAGTTTAAGGGACTTGTCCAGATCATTGAACTAATTAGTAGCAGAAGTGGGTCAGGCCTAGACAAGAGCTGGAGGTCAGGTCCCTGGTTGGAAAGAAAAAAGTTGGGCCAGGGAGGGGAGGGGTCTGGAAGTGGGATCAATGACTGGTCTGGCATTGGGGGTGTGGTGTGGTGGCATCTCAGACCTGGGCCAGACAGCTCAGTGAAGTATACCGCTGTTCCAAGAAGCCTCTCTCCCTGGTACAGATGGCACTGCCAGGGCTGGGAGAGGAGTCTGGCCTCCTGCACCTCCAGCCAGGGTCCTGGGGAACCCCTCAAAGATGGCTCATTCACGGGGCTCCACATGAAGCGCTCTCGTCCGGATGCCGGAGTCACCTCACAGAGCAATTTTCTCAGGTTGCCAGGGAACCCCAAAGACTTGGGCGTCACTGAAAAAAATAGAGGGAAGAGCTCTTTTGGGGCCCCAGCCCCCTATCTTGAAACCACAGTTGAAGTCCCAAGGATCCATTGCCCTGCGCTCACCTGGGCTCTGAGCAGATGAGGTCCAGGAGGTGACCAGGGACATGGCCACGTTAGTCTTATCAAGACAAAGCTCTGGTCAGATCACTGCTGCTCAAAAACTTTCCAGGCTCCCTACTGCCTTCAGGGGACTGGTCAAACTCAGACTGGCGCGGGAGGATCGCACGCCAAGCACTCTTTCAGATTCTTTCACCTTACTTTCTACTCAGATGCTCAGAATGCCTAACAGCAGTCAGGTGCGTTGGTCTCCAATCTGTCTTGCACTTCTCCTGCTTGCACGACTTGGCTCACATCAGTGCCCCCTGCCTTGGGGTGGCCCCTGAATGAACTCTATCCCCCTTTCTGAATGTTTTGGAAACAGTAAACTAATCTAGAGACAGAGCATCTCAAAGCTGCACAGTGAGAGAGAGGGTGGGTAGGAGGACACAGATGGTGAATGGCCTTGAGCACAGTGAACAGGCACCTGAATATTTGGTGACACAGGCACTCGAGTTTAGACCCCGAGCCTGGCGTTTCCCAGCTGTGTGACTTTGGGAAAGTTCTCTGTAAAAAAGAGATGATAGTCTCTCTCCCATCGAGTTGTCAGGCAGAGAGCAGGGAAAACTGATGCAAAATAGTGGATGCTCAAGAAGACTTGGACAGAAGGAATCGGTGGGCTTGAGTGACTAGATGTGGGGGAAGGAGGAGGCCAGGTTTCAGGGTGAATGGGATACAAGTGGAGTTACTGACAGAAAGGCTAAGTCGGCAAGAGGACTGAGGCTGAGGCAAAGACGGTATTCAGAGTAAAGCTGAGGTGTGGGTACCATATCTAGGTAGAGATATCCAGGAAGCAGGTGGAATTCACCATTGGCTCTCAGGAGACAGACGTATAATTTGCGGGTGTATTCTTTATTCATTCAACCAATATGCATTATTCAGGACCTACTATATGGTGCTACTATTTAGAGCCACAGGTGAGCACTGCAGACACAGCCAAGGTGCCCTGGCTGATAGTTACCAATCAATCAACATGTCCTTTCTGAGGGTTTTTTTTCTGTGTTTGTTTTATATTGTCTTGAAAAGCCCTTGCTCAGTAAATATTTGCGGACCAAGGGACTGATTTCTTAATTCCTCCGAAATCCAGGCCACTTCCTGCAACTTTAATCCAAGCCCTGGCCCGAAAGTGGACAAGGATTCTAGAAATAGATTCCACCTCTTTTGAAATATTCAAATTTTTGCCACCTCTTCTTCTAACTTCTCAGACCTTCCCCCCAGTTCAGAGCAGGGGAGTCCCTTGGAGAAGAGTGGAACGTTCACCTAGTGACTCAGGGAGATTTTCAGTTTCGGTTCTCTATATGGGGGCGAGAAAAGAGGAGGCCACAAGGGGCAGCCTTTGCAACTTGTGCCCAGCGGCCTAGCATCAGGAGGCATATTTGCCCAGTTTTTGCCCAGACAGCCTTCCCGCCCTGTCCTAGCTCCCCTGGGATGGGAGCTACTCCTTTCCCACCTGGAGCTGACCTGTGATGACTGCCAAAGTGATCGTGGCACTGAGCTGCTGCCCCTGCAGATGGATGCAGCAGGTGTAGGTCCCAGCTTGGGCCAGGCTCACAGCCTCTAGTCGAAGGGTAAAGTTGCCATTGTCTCCAGCCACCAGGAGGTCAGGGCCTCCCCCAGGAAGGGCCCACCTGGCAGTGAGGGAAGACTGGGTCCCCACGCCAGGAGGCAGGTGGCAGGGCAGCTCCACCCTGGAGCCTGCTGCAGCATACACTGTCAGAGGGACTGAGGGCTCCAGACCTAGAGAGAAAAGGGAACCCAAAGTTAAAGCTGAGAGGGCGCAGTATAGAGTGGCTAGAGCGCTGGGTCTGCACAGAAGGAGGTGGTCATGCTCTGAAGAGGGTTAAGGAGCAGAATAAGGTGGATGAACTGAGGATGCTCAGAAACCCAAGATGTGGCTGGGCTGGCAGGAGGCCAAAGGCTAGCAAGTGAGGCTAAACGGCCAAGGGAAGAGATAGAAGGGGAGAAGGCAGCTAAAAAGCTGCAGTGGGATGGAAAAAGGGGTTAGACAGTGAGGCCCAGAGCAATCACAGGTGGCATTAGCTGCCAAAGACCTGGTTTGGGGACCCATATGTCAGGGGGTGGTGACAGGGGGCAGGAAGGGGTTGTGGTCAAGTGTGAAGGCAGACTGGAGGAGTTACCCAGAACAGTGAGGTTGTACATGATGGAGACCTTGAAGCCATCTCTGTAGGTGAGGATGCAGCCCCAGGGCCCAGAGTCCAAGGGGCTGACTTGGGGCAGGAAGAGGAGACTTCCGGTGAAGTAGTGATGGGGGGACTCCTGGACAGGGATTCTGCCCGGCCCGCGGAACCAGTGCACAGAAGCTGGGAGGTCAGGACGGCTGAAGGAGCAGTTCAAAATGACCCAATCCAATGTCCTAAGAGGCCCTGGAGGGCTGGCAGTCACTGAGCAAGAATAAAGAAGGTTTGATCAGCCCTACCAGAAACACTTACCCAACACAGCAGGCCAACTAAGCTGGAAGCTCCTGGAAAGGGGCACTAAGCTATAGATTTGTCGTCTTCTCCTGCCACGTCCCCCCACCCCCAGCCCAGTGCCTGGCACCTGGGGTGCTTAAAATTGATGCCCAGGGGTCTCCCGCCTGTTTCCCCTGCCTCCTGCCCCCAGTTTACTTGGCTTGGTCTACCCCCTTCCTTTCCTCCAGGCCTTGCCTGAGGATCCCCGCTAAGCCCACCCCCTGAGCTGAAATGAATCACTCTGGCCTTGCACTCCCCGCAACCCCCAGAGGTACCCTCCCTCCTCCACCCTGGCGCTGTGAGCTGGGGAAGGGGAGCTCACGGGGTGATACCACCTCTCCCTGCACAGGGGCGTTCCTCCTCCCACACGTGCTTCTCTGGGGGCCCCTTCCCCTCCGCAATCAGGCTCTCTTCTAGGGGCTCTCTGGCAGGGCCTAGGGCGCGGCCTTAGCAGCACGGCCTCTGCCCCAGCCCTTCCTGCCTCCGGGGCGGCGGGGAGCGGGGCGCCCTCCTCCCAGCCACGCTCCCCTCGTCCCGCCCCCACCTACTGGAGGCCTGGCCCACGCGCAGACGGAGGCGGCAGGGGAGGACGCGGTCCCGGAGGCGCACGGCGGCGCGGTACTCGCCGGCGTCGGCGCGGCCGGCCGGGCGCAGCCACAGTGAGAAGTCCCCGCGCTGGAGGCCGCGCTCGGCCAGCTGCACGTGCGGTGGCAAGGGCAGCCGCCTGCTCAGCAGGCCGCCGGTGGCCAGCCTCAGCACTGTGTAGACGCGAGGCCCGGGTCCCCGCGGGGAGGGCGCCGGGGGTCGAAGGCCGAGGGCTGAGGGGCGGCTGGGGCCGGGACCCGGCGGGTCGCTGCGGGAGAGAGAGGATCGAGAAATTCGAGAGGGAAGGAGCCCCAGGCCAGATGCAGTCCGACCACCCAAGGATAAGAAAACCCACCCAAAAGGAAGGTCTCTTGACCGCTAACCGCCCCTCCTCCGTGTCCCCTCACCCGTGCCGGCCCCGTCCCCTTCCCCCTCCGAATGGGCCAGCACCATCCAGTCCTGGAGAGGCAGGCATGCTATGGGATGCAGGTGTGGGGGAGCTGTCTGCGGAGGAAGGGCAGGCAGGCGGGGTGCAGAGCGGCAGAGGAGGCTGAGCCCCTGGCTTTAGAGGGACTGACAGCTCAGGGAGAACGCACAGGGCTGGCTTGAGCCTCGGGTTGTGAGTCTGGATGCCATTACTGCCGGATTTGGGGGTTCTTTTGCCCAAGTTTGGGGTGCATACCTGTCTGGTAGGTGCTGCCAAGTGACCCCTCCTGCTCGCAGAAGACTGAGATCCTGGAGGGGGATTGTGGGGCTGCAGGGGAGCTGGGCAGGAGCCCCCTCCTGGGCCCACACCACTGTGACCTCTGCCCCAGGCTCTGGAGCCTCCACTGGGGAGCAAAAGAGAGGCCAAAGGGAGGGGCTGTGAGTCAAGAGACTTAGGAGTAGAGGAGTCTCAGTGTCCTGAGGGAGAAACGGGGCTGGGGAAGACCTTGGGTTTCTGCCCCTTTCCTACCAAGGGGGAGACTGAAGAGAGGCTTTCGGGGGGCTGAAGGACTGCCCCAAGCAAGGCATTAGAAGAATCCACCCAAGCTAGGGACCTTGGCATCTGGGCGGTCATGCAGGGATCCCTGCTGACCCCCTCCTGTGGGTCTGGAGGTAAACCCTCAACCGTCCCAGAGGGTCATCCCCGCCTTACCTGGAGCCACCCACAGCAGTTGCAGAAGCAGCGAGACCAGGAACTGAGCCTGCCGCATCTCCCCTTAGGCCTGGGCCACACTGAGCCCTCCAAAGGGAAGAGGTCAGAAGGGGAGGGGGCGGTGGACAAAAAGAGAGGTTCTGCGAAGAGGGAGGTGGAGGAAGGGAATGAAGAGGAAGAGGGACAGGGATGGAGGCCTGGAGAGAGAGGGCAGGGCCCAATGACCAGAGGCTGGAATCCAGAGAACGGCTGGCCCGATGAGGAAGTCCGGGTCGGGGTGGGGGGGGTCCCAGGGACTAGGGCAGGGCAGGGCAGTGACAGAGCGGAGCAGAGGCAAGGTGGCTGTCTTGAGCTGGGAGGCTGTTGTGCTGCTCCCAGGGCCCTGCCCCTGTCCTTCTGCCTTCCCTCCACCTTCCCCACTTCCCCTCCCCATCGCCCCCCCACAAACCCCAGGGCTCACAGTTTCGCTTCGCAGTGGAAAGTCTGAGGGGGCTGATTCCCAGCAGCGTTACCCTCCACCCCTGTGGTGGCGCTCCCCTTGTTTATTTCCTCAGTCCTGGGTGTCCCCGCCACCCCCTCCACTCCCTCCCCCACCCCCCTGACTGTTCCTTCTCAGGGACCTTCTGCCCTTCTCTCCAAACCATTTCTGCCTGGAACTACCTGCTGGCCCACCTCTACACGGCCTCCCCAGTCCTCCATGCACACTTCCTTCTTGGCAGGCCCTTTCCTTGGTACTCAGCCCCTCCCTCATTCCCTCAGCCTCCCAGAACTTCATTAGCCCTGTACACCTGCCTCCCCACCCATGCAGCCAGTGCCTCCGGGGAATGGGATGGACAGGAAGCTTTCCTGTATCCTAAGAGATGGTAGGTCTGGGGAAGGGCACCCCAAGCCCAGGGAAAAGAAGAGCTACATTGTACCGAGCCTTCATTATGTGCTAGACACTGTATTGGACACTTCACATACTCATGAAATTATCCATTGCGCAGATGAGAAAACTGAGGCAGGCTCAGAGATTAATTTGCCAAGGTCAAACAGGGAGTGTGAAGACAAAAGCTCAGAGTGCGTGTGTGTGGTCCTGACCCTGGGTGAGTTATGAGTGTCTTCTGATCTTTTGGGAAGAATGGTTGTGCCAATGAGTCACACACACCCCCCGCCTCCAGGTCGGGCCCCCCGTGTATTCAGCAGCTTCTCCCAAACCAGAGGTTCTGAACTAAGAGAAGGCAAAGGTGATATGGACAAATACACAAATCCTGCAACAGAGCTCAAACCCTAGAAAAACTGAGGCAGAACTAGGGATGGAAGCCTGAGACAGAAGGAAACTCCTGCTCCCCACCAGACCCTGCCCAGCCAGGAGAGGTGGACGGTGGGTGCCAAGAAATCGCAGCATGCCTGGGAACCACAAGAGGCCCTGGACTTCTCCCCTGCTTGACCAGGGGCTCCCTTCCTCAGAGCCAGGCAGAGGGCACCTTTAATGCCAGGCAACTCTCACTCCGGGTCCTAGGGGTTGAGACCCAGGCCTCCCAGCCCTCTCCCACTTCAGGGGTGGGACTTCCTGTTTCTGAGGCTGTTTCTTTGCCTGGTTCAGCACAACAGCGCTGGTAGCTTTCCACTGGACTCAGCAGTGTCTAGACCTGGTGTGGGCTAGCAGGGCAGTGCGTGTGTTGCTGGGCAGGAGCATCCCCAAGAATCCAAAAACAGGACAGAAGTCAGCTCTCAAAGAAGCTGTGCTCCGTGTCTACCCCTGGGGCGCTGATCCTGTCTTCTTGATGGGTGTGTGGTAGGAGGGTGCCACTATTTTACAGAAGGGAAAGGTCCTCACAGAATGTGCCATCAGCCACCCTCCTCCCTCTGCCCCGGGAAAGCAGGAGACAGGTTAAAAACAGAAGCGCGACCGTTTCTTTATTAAATTATACAAAAAGGGGAGGGGAGGGGGGCAGCTGTGGGGCTCGGCCCCAACCCTGGCCCCACCCCGGCCTGGCGCTGTCTGAGAGAAGGGGATCTGAGGGAGACCCAGGGATCAGGCGGGGTTGGGATGGGCAGGACATGAGGCTGGGATGCAGAGGTGAGGAAGGAAAGGCTACCGCAGGAGGGGTGGGATTGGCTGGAGGAGGGAGGAAGAGAGCAAGGAAGGGGAAAGGAGCCATTGGGGACCAGCTGGGAAGCTCAGATGGAGCAGGTCAGGAGGTGGAACAATGGCAGAGTGAGGATGGAGGGAGGGGCAGTGTCTGGAGAGGCGGACATGAGAAGGCTGGGGAGAAAGAGGGTGGCAGCTCTGGTGCGGGGCCCAGAGCAAGGAGCCAGGTGAAGAGTGGCTGCACTGTCTGTTCCCACCCCACCTCCAGGCCCTGAGGGGCCTCCCACCCCCAGCCCACTGGCAGGGGGCTCATGCCGATGCCCCATTTTCTGTCTTCTGCCGCTTGGGATCCGCTTCATCCTGTGGGAGGAAAAGAGTTGGGTAGCTGTAAAATGGGAGAGGGAGCTCCCCCTGTCCCGGCCCTGCTCCAGCCCCCGCCCTGCACCACAGGGATCTGCGTCCAAATCCAAAGGGCTCCCAGCCCCTGCTGCATCCCTGACAGCCCCTCAGGGGCCACAACCCAGCCCAAACCTCCTCTTCAGCAGCTCTCTTCAGCGCGGGCCCTTCGTCGTCATCTTCTTCTTCTTCCTCATCTGAGGAGCCAGAAATGGGTCATTGGGGAAGGGCAGGAAGCTCCGGCAGAGACCCCCTGTGGTCCTGCTCAGCCCTGCTTCAGGTCTTCAAACCCACCCTGACTCTGTTTCTTTGAGCCCAGCCTCCCCTGCCCCTCCCCACCTTCTTCTTCCCCTTCATCCTCCTCCTCTCCGTCCTCAGCAGTTTCTTCTTCTTCCTCCTCAGCTCCATTCTCCTCCTCCTGTGGGGACCAAAGAGGGACAGTGTCAGGCTAGCTGTGTGCCTCCACCCACTGACGGCAAGGGGCACTGCCAGGGCCTGAAGGGTGGGGGAAGGAAGATGGGAGGGGTCAAAGGAAAGGAAGGATGCAGCCCCCCAAGAAGGAAACTGAAAGGGGCATGGTGGGCAGGTGTGGTCACCCCCCACAGGCCTCCGCACCTCCACCACTTCTTTCTTTCGCTCTTTCCGGCTTGCCTTCTCCTCCACCTTCTCTTTCTTCTCCTTCAAGTCCTGCAAGAGAGAAAGAGGTCACCTTCCTCTCACCACAAATGATCTGCAGTCTGTAAGTCCTTCTAGCCCCAGTTTTCCCTCTGCAGTGAGCTTAGAGGAGTGTGAAATGGAGATGGTAGCCACAGCACCTTAGAGACAGAACAGAGATCCAGGGTCCTTCGGGCCACCAGGGGCTGAGACCAGACACCTTCTTCCCCAGGACTCAAGAGAGAAGGGATGAAGAGGGGGGAACAGGCGGCCAAGGGAACTGCTCACCACCCCCCTCGGGTTCTTCCAAACCTCACCGGCTGAAGAGTTCAGCTCAGCAAAGCAAATCCCCTCCATCTGCTCACAGCCCTGATGCCCCACCCCCTCCCAGCCTGGCCTGCCCTGCCTACCCTGCCTTTTGTCTACCTCTGGGGCCTTTTCCTGAGTACTCTCTCCTGGGCGTCCCTCCCAGCTTCCCCCTCAGTTTCGAAAGGCTTTGTGTCTCTGTCTGTGTCCCCCAAATCCTCAGGCTCCTTCTTGGCCAAACACTACAGGAACAGGGAGAGCACTCTAGCACGCTTCCCGGCACCCCCCTCTCACTTTTCCCACGGCCACCCCAAAACAGTTCCAGTAGTTTCCTCCTCCCCATGGCCCGTGGTGTGTGCACTGGTGTGGTAGAGGGTGGGAGTACCTGTCTCCAGGGGGAACGCAGGTGAGGCAGGATAAAAAAAAAGTGGGAAGGAAAGAGTACTGGACACAGTAGATGGAGAGAGACAAACAAGATCTACAGCTGGGGTGGCGTGGGAATGTAGCTGGGGAAGCGACCTCCCTCCACACCACCCCCTCCCCTTCACCACAAGGTCCCAACTGGCACCTCCGTGATGTCCTATTCTGATGTGGCAGAGGGAGATGCTCATGAGAGAGTCTCCTCTCTCTGGACACCACAGCAACCCTTCCAGCTTAGATTCCAGTCCTCTCCCCACCCCACCCCTTGGCAGGCACTGAGCGACACTGTGGGTGTCTGTGTGATCTGATCTGGTGTTGGTGTGCAACTCTGTGTATCGGATTCCATGAGGATGGAAGTTTTCTGAGCGAGGAGAGCACCCTGGGAGGGTGTGTCCTTTCTGGAAGAAGATTGGGGGTAGGAGAGGGAGTTGGTGCAGAATGGTGGGCCTGGAGGAACACTCAGTTCCCTCTTCCCTTTAAGGGGAGCACACATCCTTTGCCCCTCTCACTCCAGCTAGGCTGCTTCATGCCATTTCTCTGTCCTCATTTCATTGCCACATGGTCGCATGCCATTTCCACTACCTGGTGGCTTTCCCCTACATCCTGGGCCTGGAGAGCCAGGGGCTAGTCAGTCATTCTCTGGGGGCCCCAGGACCAGCTCTCTGTGGCCCTGGCCTGAGTTTCCCATCTGGGCTGATGGAGGGAGGGAGGGAGAGAGTACAAGGGAGGGAGTGAGCCTACCAGAGACCAAAGTCCAAGGGGCCGGACCCTCTCCTCCCCTGTCCTGTCCTCGTGGTCACTGTCCTTCCATGATCCCTTTTCCAGGAGGGTATGTGACCTAGGTCTTGTGCTAAGCAGCTCTCTGGCCTCATTTACTCAACACAGGCACACGCACTGACACAGGCTGACACCGATTCACACACACAGCTACAGAGGAGCACCCACGCGATCCGGAGACACATGGCCCGGTGTTTGGGCATTCTGGCACACACTCTTGAGACAGCACAAGAGCACAGTGCAGCCACTGGGCACTCACAAAGCGGCCACATGGCTCCACATCATCTACATGTCCACATGCACACATGTAACTGACACTGGCAGGCCCACACACGCTGCATTTCAGACATACAAAGACACCTACTCAGTGAAGTCACATGCCACCGCACAGCCCACCGGAGGGCCACACGGTACCCCTGTTAGATCTGACACATAGCCCCTTCTCTCTCATCGCCTTTCCTCCCAGTGGTCCCCCCTCTCACTTCACAGACCTCAGAGAGACCCCTGTGCCTACTCCTCAGCAAGCCCCCTCAAGGTCGGGCTCCCAGCCCCCAAACCCTGGCCGAATTAATTTCCCAAAGCGACACTCAGCAGGTTCCCTAGGGAAATTAGAGAAAGGCTGGAAGAGAGGCAAGGGCAAAGGGAGGGGGCCAGAGAAGGGAGCTGAAGAGAGCCAGGAGGGCTCGAGGCAATGCCATGCAATGCTGCGCCCCAGCTGTTTCTGAAGGCTATTCCCGCCCCCCTCTGATTTTTAGGAACTCAAGATTCTTTAAGTGTGGAGGAGAG